TTGTGCTGAGGACACGGAGCGGGGCGCGGGGCTCCGGGCGGGCTCTCACGGGAGCGCAGAGGGAGAATCCCCTCCCTCGACCTGTTGGCCGTGGCTCTTTGGATACCGCCCAGGACAGGGTTGGCTTTCTGGATCGGCTCATGTCCAGCTTTTCGACCACAAGAACCCCCAAGTCCTCCACAGCTGCTCTCAATGGGTTCTTCTCCCAGCTCCATGTCACAAAAATGCCGCCCTGTGGAAGACCTGACAGCCTTCTCCGTGGTTGGGAGTGATCCTGAAAGAGCACCAGGATACCCAGCCTGGCACATACATTATTCCCCAGAGAATATAAATTAAACTTTCCAAAGTCTCACCATTAGATATGTGACATCTTGCCCTTCAAAATTTGAAGTTTTCATCCTAATGTATTTCCAGGTTAATAAGCAACAATTTTCAATATTATCAATCTTAACCTGTTGTGGTATTTTTTTAATTAGGATGAGGTCACCAGAATAGGTCCAATATTCTCTTTACATTTAGTTTTGAGGAGAGCACTTTGTTGGAGGATTCAGTGCAAGTAATCATGAGCATTAAACAAAGTGATCTCAAGGAAAGGAGATTCATCAGATAATTCAGGACCATAAAAGGGAAATTTTGAGGCATGGGGTGTTCACAAACAACCATCAAAGACACTCAAAAGACCTCATATTCAAATAAGTTAATGGAAATAATTAGCATCTACATATGTATTCAGGAAATGTAATGAATATGTAGTAGAAATGTGATGAATATGCATTAGCTCCATGGATATAACCTGGCCTGTTAGGTTGATCTTCATTAATGCTTTGAGGATAAATCCCCATGCATCAAGCACTGCTAATAAACTAATCTGATGATTATTCTTGCTATTTTCAACTCAAAAGCTAAGGTGTTACAGACCAGATCAAGAAACAGGGAAAAAAAAGAAAAAAAAAAGAAAAAAAAAAGAAAGAAAAAGAAAGAAAAAGAAAGAAAGAAAGAAAAAAAGAAAAATGACTGACAGAAAAGAGCTTTAGAATGCAGTAGACAGAATGACTATTGTGACTGGAAAGACACCACCACAGAGAAATAGCAGTGATTGGGATATAAAATATTTATTTTTAATAGACTGTAGTTATATACTCTTTCCTAAATTCAGTTGTCCACCCAAGTTGGCAAGCTTTGCTTATTTTCTGTGTATTTTCAGTATAAGAAGGTGGTAACATAGGACACAAGTAGTACATTAACATTTTCACTGTTCGGGTCACCAAGTAGACAGAACAATGCTCTGTGTTCCATCCAAGGGATGGAACTGCAAAAGAAAATGGGCCTTATAGGTTCTCCTGCCACAAACACAGTGTGCTAAACCTCCCTACATCTTTCACACAGTGCATGCCCTGCTTCCATAGTCTCTTTCATTCAGCATTTCTGGTTTTCAAAGGTCAGCTTAAGAATGGAAAAATGCTGAATGAGGTCAAAATCAGCCTTTCAAAAGTCAAGAAAATTTAACTTCCAGGGGCAAAGTATACTCCTGTCATACAGATTGGAAATAAAGCCATTTTTCTCAGTTACGAGCAGACCATAACTACCTCTCCAGGCAGGTGAAAAAGAATATGGGGTAAGTAAGCTGACTATTTCTTGCTGTGTCAGAAGGAGGTTCTATCAGCTTGCAGAAATACTGATTATTGTTTTGGCTTTTGGTACCTTCGCAAAAACACATAAATTTTTTTTTAGTAAGTGACTTTTTTTATGTTATTTGGGTTGTAGGAAATCATTCCTTGCAGAGCAGAAGAAAACTTCCATTTTATCACTCAGGTTAATGCAAAGACTTTGGATCTTTATAGTGCAGTTTTGCCACAGGTGCACTCCGAGGAGGAAGCAGACTTACACAGAATATGTTAGTGGTAATGGCAAGTGGGACAACAGACCTTGCTTACAGGAAGGATTAAGCTCCTGAAGCTTTAAAACATAATACAGGCATGGGTGGTGCTGAATTCCCTTTGTCCATTTGATCTTAGCAGCTGTTCCTGAAGTTGATGCTATTCAAAGGAGAACTCCCCAAGCACTCTGCTGTGCATCATGGATCAGGTTTGGTTTATGTTTTTTTAAAAGGCTGGCCAGGAACGGAAAAGTCTTTGTGGGATGCATTTAGGCAAAAGAATCAGAAAATTTTACCTTATGAAAAACTGTAGTCCAACACAATCCTTCACTGATAATGCATCAGTTTGGTATAACATAGTCTTTGTAAACTGGAGAAGTAAAACCCAGCTTTCTAGAGTGATTCTTGACAGGGTGACATAAGGAAGATTTTGGTACAGAGAGAGGGTGGCATCTTTGGAAGCTTGGGGTTCTCAGGGATACAGTAAAGGATAGCATCAACTATTTCCAGTATTCTCTTGAGTAATAGCATAAATATCCTGTATCAGATGTCAGGTCTTTGACAATAACCCAAATTGTAAGAGTAACTCCTTAAACAGTTTTTTTCCTTCTTTATTTGGGTTTGCTTGAGTCTAATCAACTGAATTATCTGGAGTCACCTTTTATTTTGTTTTATAATTCAGTTTAAAAATAACCAAACAACTTGTGTTATTTCATAGCTGTTCCACTCTGTCATATAGACTGTTAGCCTAAAAATTGATTGTAGTTCAATTTCTTTTACAAACATACTTTATAGAATAAATTATTGGATAAATCTTGAAGATGTATTTATAATTTATTCTTTGTAATTATTTGCTAAAAATTTGGATTAAGAGTTATAATGGGAAAAAAAATTAAAGAACCAGAAGAAACTGCTTTATGAAGTGAAATATACAAAATACCTCTCAAAACTTAAACTCAAGATGGATTAAACCATAACATGAACAGTAAGACAACAGGCTCCTACAATTCAGAAAGTGAGGGGCTGATCCACAGGTTGTTTGCATTTCAATTCAAACTCATCTTCTTAAGTACATTCAGAAACGCTGTTTGCTGGAGTGGTTTCTATAGCAGTGTCCTGCTTGATTACAAATCAGCAGGGCTGACGAAGCCTGGGCGAGCAGAAGCTCATTAAAATGTCTGATCTGGTTATGCAATAGGCTGGTGGCAGCCTGTGACTCCTTTATTGTCCCCTGGTGTAAGAACTGCCTCTCCACAAAGCCCAGCTCACAGGGCTTTTGTGTCTCTTTGTAGAGATGTGTAAAAATAACCTCATAAGCCACTCTGTGGGCTGTGCTCTGCACTGGTAAGAGCTCTAAGGTCTGCTCTCAGTTCCAGCTCACACATTAGAAGCTCCAGTCATGTAGTGATCTTAATGGATGTTTCTGGAGCCTATTGGTGGCTCCAAAGATGCAGAGACCTACAGCAGGTTACAGGACTTTCCATTCTTAAGCCCACCTGTGTGATCCATTCCCTCCTCTCCCCCAGTGTCCCACTACATGAGAGTCACTTGGCTCAGTATTTAAAAGACACTTAACTTCTGGCTGAAAGTTTCTTCTGCTCCCGCACTTGGACAGTGAGCTTTCAGACTAATCCATGTTAGGTTAAATAAAGCAGAGAGAAAGATGGCTCTGCCCAGGAGTTTGACCAAGGACACCAACAGTCACAAAAATATCCACAGATAAGATGGTGTTCTTACCTGTCAGAGTAACAAGTCTATGTGCCAAGCCAAAACCATGGAAAGCAAACTAATCTTCAGGAATCCAAGTGGGTGCAAAACAAAAAGGATGCTGACTCCACAGAAAAGAAACCACAGCCAAAACCTTTGAATAAGACTGCCTCAGGGTGAGTGACAAGATGCCAACTAAAACAAGGACTGCCATTATTTCACTGCTCCCCCCCAAAATTGTCTACGTAGTTATGCTTTTGCACAGGCCCTGGTTTTTATTGCACTCTCATCTGAGTCGTACAGCTCATTAATTCTATTTATTTTATTTTTTTTTTGTTGGGCGACAGTTCCAGCAGCTTAGCAGGTGAATTGGCTCACAGGGTGTTCCAAATATGCTAGAACAAGTAAAAGACAATCTAGGATAGAAGAAAGAGAAAAGAAAGAACAGGGAGAGGAATGGGACTCCACAGTTTTAGTGTCAATGAGGTATTAGATACTAAACCCTTTCAGGGACCCACAACCACACGTTTCTTTCTGCAACCTTATTTCTGATTAAAGATGGGAGCAGATATTTCCCTAATTTAACTATCACCACACATAATAAGGGTACCATAGGCACTCAGTTTTTTCTTCCATTTTGGAAGACAAGCACCAGATAATCTTTCACTGAATTTACCTCAAAGACCTTTGGAGGAAGATAAAACATCAACTGGCTACAATGCCTGCAGCAACTCAGGTTCCCTTCTGAAATTGTTCAGACAGTAGTTCAAGGGACCTCTTCTGTGAAGTAAAGAGCAACACAGACAATGCCATGTAGTTTTAACTCTTTTGAAGAGTTTCAGTGATGCAGATATTGCATGACAAATTTTGATGTTAGTAGCTATAGCAACTCATGCCATGAAACAGCTGTTCTCCTTCCCATCTTAACCTGTACTACACATACATCATCTTTGGAGAATATGTGCAATATTTTGCATGTCTGCTTCAATCCCCATTTGAAAAAGCTTCACAAAATTTGTTCAGCATCTCACACTTGTGAAATATCACTATAGGCAGGGCCAAATTTCACTGAATCTTGTGCATCTAACTGCTCTCTGTCATTAGACCAGCTGCTGAAATAGTTGTGCAAATGCCATTACAAAGCACTAAGGCACTCAAAAGTGTTTGAAATTGTGTTACTGTATTTGTAAAGGAGGAAGAGCCAAAGGTAGCACCAGGGAAATGAGAATCTCCTGCAGTTTGTGAAAAGCAGCAAAATAGCATTTTGGGGGAAAGCAATAAGTGAAGTGTGTTTGTTTGGTACCTGCAGAAAGAGTATGTGGTTTATCTGATCTCACACCAGGAGTGGTGTTAATTTTAAACATGTGGGAAATTAAGCACCAAAGTATTAAGTGTATCTTTAGAGAAACCCACTCCATAACCAAAGGCTGAAATTTATTTTCTTAGTTTCCAATTTCAGACCATTAGAACATTAAATTTCAATAAAAATATGCCCCTGACACACTCAGCTGAGTTTACATTTGTTTTTCTGTCCTATGAAGCAGCACAGGCCTCAGAGCTACCAGGACACTGCATGCAAATACAAATCTTCTCCTTCCTTGAGAAAATTTACTGTAGCATATTTTACTGATTGCAAAAGAAGAATTAAAAGCTTTCATGCAGTGTTACTATCAACCATACAGTGAATTGTTTAAGAAAATAACATTTCTAGAAGCATATTTCACCACAGTGCTGTTCTTTCAGTCTGATGCCCACAAAGCAACACGAAGTGTTAGAGAAGCAGCATAAAGTAATAATTTCAATCATCTCTCTTTAGCTGATCTCTGATTTGCTTGCAGAGCCATTAAACTGCAGTTGTCCACACAGAACACAGCTGATACTCCAGTTTTTAAGCATTCTCAGCTGCAACTGGGTTTGAACAATGCCTCTCCCAAGAGAGGTGCTTCATATCACTCTATTGGAGTGTCTGAGCAAGGGCGAGTTAAAGACATTAAATCAAAATCCTTTATTTTTTTCTTTCAGCAAAAATGTAGGAAACAATTGTGTATATGATTCTCTATCACTCTTCAATCTGGTGAGAGCTGATGCTTGGGATCCCACGTACAACTTAAACTTCACATGCACTTGTGCCATCACCTGCATTAGGGAAATAAAAGGAAATTTCAAGACAGGTTACCAGCTGAAAAACTCTTTAACTATTTAGCAAAAATGCAATATTAAAGTTAATCTCTTAAAATACAATCAAATGCTTATGGTTTGAAATGAATTTGAGGCACAACAGTATGGAAGTGAGCAGTATCTCTCAGATGTCTTTACCCAGACATGCTGTCTCTGCTGAGAGCTGGCCTGCCTCTTGCACATTGTGCCTGCAGCAGAAATGCAAAGACCAAACCAAAACTGAAGAACATATTTTTAAATCTAAATGTTTAAAGATAATAAGAAAGTCTTGATAATGTGAGCTGTTTTCTTCTCAGTTCTTGATCTGAAGCCTGCACGAAGAAACTTCTCATTCACCAGCACACACAGTCTAAACAAGATAAACACAGCTGGTAAACTAACTCTGTCTAGAACTGGAAAGACAATGATGAGTAACTTGTTCTTACCAGTCTCTTAAGGTAATATTTTAATAAAAGTTTTCTGTTATTTGAAGAAATAAAAGTGAACTGCTTAAAAAAACCAGATTGAGGCCAACAAATGGATGTTTAAAAATGTTCTTGAGTGAAATAATTTTTGCAAAATTGTTATCAAGAACTGCATTCCAGGAAACACCTGAATATTCCACTCCATAAGCTTAGGTTATTTCTTTGAATATCTGCAGAAACATCTACTCTTGTATACTGTGGGAACAGTAACAAGTCTCTTATGCACTTCTGCAGTCATTGTCCAGGCTGTGATGTGCTCTAGAACACTTTGATTATGATGATGTTTATATCAGCTTCCTTTTGACTGAAATCTGGTGTTCTGCATTATACAATTGGATTTACAATTTTAAAAATTTAAACAGTGCTCTTTTGAAATTAAACCAAATAAATCCTTTTAAACATCTGCATTGGAACATAAAAGGAATCCACAAGGAATAAAAAAGGCATTTTTTCAAATAAAACTGATCATGAAGCATGGTGGGGAAGGTTTGTTGTCATATTGAAATCACTTGAACTGCTGAAAACTGCAAAAGAAAAATATCATGGTGATTTGTTTTAGTTTCAATCATAAATTATGCTGTTACTTCTGGCTCCATATTCACATAGCTGGCAGTTATCTTTCCCTGGTGGCTCAAGTACACTTGCTGGATTTTGAAAGGCTGTTGAAAAATGAGGTTAGGGATTCCTCAGCTAGAATAAAGCAATTTTGATTTAATTTCAAACATCCAGGATTTTATGTATGTGTGTGTGTGTGAAATTGCGAACAGAAGGAATGTTTATGCGTTTCATGAGGAAAAAAACCCTGTATTTCCTTTATATATTATCTGTAGGAAGGGGAGGAAAGGGAAAAACTTTTTTTTAGTTGTACAGTGAGGTGCCAGCGTATAACAGAATTCCCTGATTTAGTACAAAGTTTTAGAGCAGAGGATTTAAGATATTACTACCTGCAGTTATTTTCTTCACCTCTTGCTGGAGGTGACTGCCTCTAGAATATCAAGTAGAGGAGTTAAGAGGAGAATGTCTATTCCTTCCTGACAGAGTTATCTCCTGGAAATGAGAAAAATCTACAGATGGCTCCATGGCACAGCCAGTGAGGGATTAATGGTTGATGTGTGGAGAAGTTGCACAGGAAAATGACCAAGGAAAAGCTGGCAGCTCACACTTCTACTAGAGCAGGGCTCAGTGCCAGCTCCAAGTGGGAATTTAATCATGGAAAACATCAGCATGAGACAGTACACGGATCCAGTGTTGTGGGATGCAAGTGTGGGGCAGTGCTACACCCTGTGTTTATCTCAAGGGTGAAAGGAAAGCCCTTGCAGGGGGGGAGGCTGCAGAGCATTCATGGCAGAACCTCAGCACTACTCCACAGGGCTTCCCTGGGGGCTTCCAGAGACCTTGGCAAGCTGCACACAGACCTGAGGATAGTGAGAAATACAGCAATCCATGTCCCGTGGTTCTGCAGACAGGCAGAACAGGTCTGGCTTCAAACACATATATATATATACAGTTTAAAATGTTAAAAACAGTAAAGAGATTTTAGAAGCAAGATAACCCAGGCCCACTCGTGCAGAGGAATTTTCACAATGATGTAACGTTGTTGTCTTCTAACCTTAATGTCTCTGTGACATCCAACGCTGAGTCTATCACAGACAGAGGCTCTGAGCATCCCTGCAGCCTCTGCCAGCTGGGGACCACAGTACCATGACCATCTCCCCAGTTCAAGTCTCTGAATTTTTAGAGGCTAATATTAGGTAATTTATCTCGTCATCTTTTCCTAAATAATGCATAAATATTCTGCATTATAAGAGTGTGGATTTGGAATTGCTTCTCTTTAGTCAAAACATGGAGGCAGTCTGCCAGTGTCTTCAAAGGGAGAGACTGGTGCTGTGATTCCTGCAGGGAAGGGGATCTGAGCCTGGAGAAAAATCAAATTTCTAAACACATTAAAAGGCATTAATAATTTCAAATCTGATTGCTTATTTTCTACAGAAAATTGCACATACCAGTGCTATTTAAACTCTCCTCTTTGGGATAGTAAGCCAGTCAGAATATAGCATTACACTTTATTTCAGTGGAACAATACTGACATCCGGTGGTCAGTCAGCAAATTCAAAGCCCTGCTTCTCCAGGGTTTCACTCGGATACTGTAATCTGTTCATACGCCTCATAGCCTGTCCTTGCTTTCTTTTTTTTTCCTTGAAAATGGAGAGTATTTGCATGGCTGTAGAAAGAGTAAAATACATTTTCTAAAGTCCAATAGTTACAATGTTAATTGTCCAAGGCCCTGTTGCAGTTGGCAAGTAACTGTAGGGAGGGCAGAGTTGGCCTTGATGCGAACACATTTGCTCTAAAGGCCCTGTTCTTGTGACAAACGAGGTCAAACAAACAGTAATTCATCGTTGCAGCTGTCTTCTGTGTTTGGGTCCTCTGGCTGTCTGGAGGAAGATCTGTGTGCAGTTTTATAAATCACCAGAAGTAATACTTAGGTTGCTATAAATCCTTGGGAACTTATTTTGTCATGTCACTGAAGTCAGTTGCATCATATCTCTTTACTAGCTATTTCACTGTTAGGAAAATGGGTTGTGTAGCTTTATACCATTTCTTCCCAGATTGAAATAATGTTTTAAAATAATATGATTTGCCCTATTTGGTTTTAGAGTCTCACCTTTACACTGTGGATGGAGAGCTTCCATTCACACCAAGCTGATCATCTTAATGCCCATTGCCTCTGTTCTTGCACCAAAAGAAAGGGGCTGTTCTCTCCACCAGAGCTCCAAGTAGCCCATTTACATCCATCTTCTGTTTACTCCATTTAGATTTCAGCCAAAGCAATGAACCTAGCCCTGACTCAGTAATGACAAAATATTTGGCTGCAGTCTCAATCCTGCAGGAATCAAAATGCTGTACACAAGATCCTGCGATACCTAGGGGAAAAATGCAATAAAATTACTCTTACATCTTGTAACAAGCATAATATTTTTTCCCCATGTGATATAATCCGAACAAAAGTTTAAAGCTTCAAACAGGGAACTTGGTTTTGAATTATAACTTGATTGTCATAATATATTTGCACATTAGCCAAGGGGAAAACAAAATGCTTACCAACCTGGATTCAGATCTCTGCAGTGTAGATATTGATGTACCATCCATGATTACCACAAGTAATTGTGAATGTTGTGAATGTATCTTTCCAATTTCCACCTTAAAAACTAAATACATTTTTTACTTTCATTGAAAATTATAACATAAAATATGTTGAAGCTTTCCATCTGCCTGCGTTGATAGCATTCATGTCTATCCTAAATATGTCAAATATAAGTTCTATAGTGTTTACCCATTTCAGGTTTATACTTCTTTTTTAACAGCATTTGTGCTACTTGACAAATACAGAAATATAATTAATCATAATTAGGTGGTGTGACATCTGACAGAAAAACTGAGTTATTTTCTTTGAGAAGTTCAGAAAATTTACTATCCTATAATTTAATCATATGGCTGTCATGTGATAGGAGGGGCATTGCATGGAGGGGAGAGGGGAATCTTCAGTTGTGGTTAGTAGATGCTTTCTGCCCAACAAAAGGATGTCTTCTATCTCAAACGTTTCATGCATTTTATTTAGGTTTATGAAATTCCCAGTTCTGATTTTGTTCAGGTTTGCCTATCCCCTTCTTTTTCCCTCCCTGCTTTCAAATGTGTAAGGTCCCAACTCAGTCCCCATTGAAGTGATTGCAGACTCCCACTGACTGCAGTGGGAATTGGATTAAATCTCTAAAACAACAATTACATGCCTAATTGCTTTTTACTGCTCACTTAAAAATGCATTCTTTGAAACACTACCAATATTTGTAAGGGCTGAATGCTTAATGTGCCAAACTATTTAGGTTATTTGGAGACCTATTTTCTACCAGCGCCTGGGGAATTAAATAAATGCTATAAAATAGTGTTATTTACATTATGCATTTATAATAGAAGTGTTTATATTGCATCATTATTCTTCATATTGGTTTTCTTCTAAATGCCAAGACTTTGCTGCTTTGAAGTCAGTGGGAGATCTGCCCCTGACTTCATCCAAACTGAAACTGGGAGCTAATGTGTGGAAAAGACAATGCAATTTTCAGATCATGCTGAAAGACAAATTTTGTGAAACACACTTCCTATAACTCTGTGCTGACTGTCTCTTCTGGCACCACAGGACACCCTTGCCCTGTGCATTCCTCAGTGCACAGGCATTTTGTGTCTCCAGAGCATCAAGAGGCCATGTGTTAGTTTGGCAGTGGCTGTAAACAGTAATTGAAGTGACTGTGCTGATTGGAGAGTGGCTCAGAGAACTTCCTGGCAGCCTGCACCAGCTCAGCTCTCCCTGTCACAATCCTAATTCTAAAATATGAACCCCATACAATAATGGGTGTGAGAAGGTTATGCAGAAATTAATTAATCACCAGAGATCTTATATTTGACCTCTGAGCCTCTGAAAAAAGTAGTCACTGAAGGAAAACAGAGCAATCCTCCTCCTATAAAATCTACTTGAAAGAAACAATATAATTAAAACAACCCTGAATCTCAGAAGTATGGCCTAGAGGAAGATTATAAAATCTGAATTTGGCTGCATGTCCAATGACTTTTATTACAGAAGTGTTAGCTTCCTTCATCACCAGCCTCCCCTCTGAATGGGCAAATCCCATCTCTGCCACAGAGCTCTTCTGACTGTAATCGAGCAAGTTCAGGCATCTTTCTAAACACAGAGAGCAGGAATGCCCTGCATAGGCCTGGAAATACTGCTGGGGAGTGCTGCTAGGCACTGTAAGGAGGCAAGTCAGATTTGGGAAAGGGATTGAAATGGTTACTAAATTTTCTCTTTAATTTGACAAAGGATTGGCAAAGGACATGCTGAAAGCAAATAGCCTGAAATGCCATGAATCTACCCACAAATCAGCTGATAGGTAGATAAAAATGAGCATGCCACAAATTAAGGTGGAGAGTACAAACATACTCTTAATTTCAGCAGTATTTCAATGTATGGTGATTGCAGATCAAGGGAGCGAGATTTTTTTCAAGGAATTAAAAGTGTGTACCTCAATTTTCTACAATATATTGATATGCTCAAGACTCAGATTTAAAATAATTTCAACACCATATCTTGATATTCTACAGTAATAAAAAAATTTATGCTAGTTTCTGGTGGACAATGCTGTTTCTCTAGAGCTAATAAAAATTACTCTTCTGCTAAAAGTTAAATAAGTTATAAGAGCTTTATTTTTGCAGGACTCTTGGTTTTTCTTTTTCTTGGTAAGTTTTTGGGGTTTTTTTGATGGTTTTTCCACAAAAACATAGGGTGAGAAAATGGCTTCCAACTCCTACTTTCTTTGTTTGCAGCTCTGCATTTCACCCTGTGACTACAGGAACAATTTTTCCCTAAATGCTTTAAATGTTTTTACAGTTTACATTCTCATGGTCAAATTTATCTGCATAGCAAAATTTTCCTTGCCAGTATTGTTTGATTAGTAAGATGTTACTATGATGCTAGAGGCAAACATTTCCAGTACAATTAAGAACACTCTGAAACTAGGGCAAAGCTGAAGATTGCTGAACACAGCAAAGTGAAAGGACATTAATGTGGGACATAACAATATTGAACTTTATCATATATTGTAATGGCAGTGAATCAAGCAAACACTTTTGGACTAATGGAAAATGGTTGTGCAAGAGGACAGACATGATAAAAGAAAAGGTCAGTTGTGTCCATATGCCTGGTTAGTAAAAGCAAACAATCCTCCTTCTCAATTCCATTTTCTTAGCGATGCTGTCCCTGTTGCTGGATCTGAAGAGCACCTGACTGCTGCAGCACTGTGGTCAGTCAGTGCAATGCAAAGGGAAGGGTCATACTTGACCAGATCGTTTAAATACAAACATGAACATAACATTTCTACAAAATAAAACCGACGAAGACCCATGTTCCACAAGCTGAGACATTACTAGCATTACTACTACTACTACCTAAGGTCCCCCCAGAAATGTTTCGCTGTAAGGAATGATGATTTTTAGAGCCCATTACCCAGCTTTCAGTGAGTGCAAGTCCATTTCCATGGCAACATGAGATGTCTGAAAAATTGCTTTACAGAAGACTGTAATGTTTGTCTCCTGTGCAGCGCATGGCTGATGACAATCCACACAGCTGTAGGAATTAGTCTCCACTGCAGGATTTTAAGTAAATTAAATAGAAAAGGAAATATCCTATTAATTGACTGGAGATGTGTGTTATTGTACAATTTAGCTTTTTTAAAGATTTAATAAAAGAAGTCTTTGTAGTAGTGTTTATTGTCTAGTAAGTTCCAATACCTGCACTTTAGTTATAGCCCAAGCCTTTGCAGGAAAAACTTAACCTGAGCCTTCTTTCTTTCTTTCTTTGGTTTGTCTCTTTGTTTGCTTAAAGTAAGAGCTTTTTCTGTTTCTGTGAACAAGTCAGTTCTGACTTGTTCACAGCTTTTGGCAGGGTATGACAGCCCATGTAACACTGTGCATACTGAGTGCAAGGGGTAGCTGTTTGGCCTGGTTTATAAGCTGGAATGTGGTGTCTGACAGTAGATTGACTAGACTGTGGATGTGATGGGACAAATGGTCTCAGGAAGAATTTGTGCAGTTTAAGAAAGTTTCTGTGAGAAAAATACTCAAACCTCTGGAAGATTCCCAAGTGTTCAACTGATGGAAAAGCCAGTACAGCCTTTTGAAAGGTACATGCCCTGCACACACTGTTTGCAGGCTGAACAGCAGCTAGATGTAGCTGTGGCCCTTGGAGCCATTCCAGATGCAGGGGAATGCCCTGCCTTTCTTGGAAGCCAAACAGCTGCCCTAGCTGACTGCATATTAACACAAGAGGAAACCTGCCAAGCTTTAGCTTAACACACCAAGCTGTAAAATGTGGTGGCTCGGTGGAGCTGAACATTCCCTTCAGCCACATCTCCCATGAAAACATTTGTCCATGGCAGGGGCCAGGTGCTCACCCGGGGGCTGTGGCTGCAGCACTCTGCATGGTGGCCGTGAGCCCTGCTGGCATTGCTCTTTGCCAAAACAGCAGCCTCACACCTTCCCCAGCTGCTGTGGCAGAGCGTGGCTGATGGTGCCGAGCGTGCAACAAGCAATCCATGGGTTAGGCAGCTTTATTCTCCTAACAGGATTTGCTGCTTGCACAAGTTCCCAAAACACAGCACAGCCTGCTTCTACTTTGAGCATATTGAATTGTAAGGGACTAACTAGACACATACATGGGAGCGTGGCATAATACTGTGCAACATATGGCTGTTCTGGTCTGCCATGCCCAAATTCTGTCTAGCATAAATAGGCTCATTTCCCACTGACATCAAGAGTTGCTGTCTTAGATTATTCTGTACTGAAATCTAAAAGTGGATCTTGATCATCTCCCACATTATCAAACAGAAACTAGTTGTCCAAAGCAAGGCAGAATTCTCATAACAGCTTTAGCATATGCCACCACTCTTTCTCTGACAAGTGATTTTCCTCTCATTGCACTGACTGTCCTCCGACTCAGCAGATTACTAGAGGGACAATGTGGAGAATGGGCCTCTTCCAGATGCACCCAGCAAGCAATAACTCACTTTTGGCTTTCAGCTTGGTTGAAATGGTGCCAGAGCCGCCCCACACCCTGACCAGCTCCCTTCCAGGTGTGAGAGAAGAAAAGTGATGCATAAGGGAGGCAGAAACTTGCCTCCTGATTCAGTCCCAGGCCCCCTGCTCTCCAAGAGCAGCCATGGCAGGATGCAGCTCATGATAGACATCCACCATTCCAGCAGACAGCTGTGTGTGTTGCCACTGACCCACAAGCACATTTTAGGGAATACAAGGCCATGATGACTCCCTTTATGTGATCAGCAGCAGATTTGTGTTCTGCTTCCAGATA